TTCTAAGATGAAGAACAAGATAAAAACGCCTGCTTTTGTCACTGCTATTTCAACAATGCACTGCAATTAGGGAAGAAAAAAAAGATACCAACTGGAAAGAAATGAGTAGAATTATCTCTATTTCCAAACGGTGCTACGATTTGAATGTTGGTGTCTCCCTACTCCAAATTCCAAATTAAGATAGTATTTAGAGGTGGGGACTTTAGGAAGTCATTAAGTCATGAGGGCAGAGTCCTCATAAACGAGTTTAGCGTCCTTATAGAAGAGGCTTGAGAGAACCCGTTTGCTGCTTTTGCCATTTGAAGACGAAGCCAGAAGGCACTATATTTGAAGCAGACAGTGACTCCTTACCAGACACTGAATCTGCTGGCCCCTTGATTTTGGACTTTGCAACTTCCAGAACAATGAGCAATACATTTTTGTTGCTTATTAATTAAGAAGTCTAAGGTATTTTGTTATAGCAGCAGGAACAAACTGAGACAGATGGAATGATCTTATACAATGCAGTATACAGAAAATCCTAAAGAATACACACACATGCACACACGCGCACACCTATTATATGGCCTGTGGCCAATAAATGAATTTAGCAAAGCTGCAGAATAGAAAATCAGTGCACAAAAATCAGTTGCATTTCTATACTACAACAATGCACAATCTGAAAAGGAAATTAAGAAAACATTTCCATTTATAATAGTATCAAAAAGAATAAAATACTTAGAAATAAATTCAATTAAGAAGGAGACTTGTACACTAAAAACTGTAAAACATTTCTAAAAGAAATTAAAGAATGCTGAGTAAACCCAGAGACATCTGTGCTCATGAATTGGAAGACTTAATATTAAGATGGCAACACTCCTCTAAACAATCTACACACTTAATGCGATACTAATGGAGGCAGGGTTGTATTGGCATAAGGAGAGACATATAGACCAATGGCACAGAACTGAGTGTCCAGAAATAATGCCATGTGCCTACAGTCAGTTGATTTTAAACAAGGATATCAAAACCATTTGTGGTGAAAGAATAGTCTTAAGTTCTAACCCTTTAATTATGCCTTGGTTTTTCCCAATCCTGAAGCTAATCTAGGGGGTCCTAATCAAAAGAGATCTCATTATCGTACAAAAGACACTCTTTTTCACTCTGGAGATTCCAAAAGTTTTAGGATTTGTGTGCCGGAAACCAAATATCTCTAAAAAGTAATAACATAGTATATCTGGAAAACCCTAAAAAATAAATAAAAAAACTCACTCAGACAATAAGATAAACCAGTGTTACTGGCATATATGATAAATAGGTAGAAATCTGCAATATAAGTTTTTTAATTCACAAAATTGTATACATTTATGGTGAGCAACAAAATGCAAGTTTCGCACACACAAACAATGGCCATTTAGAAGATAAAATGGTAGAGAAAATTTCACAGTAACAAAAGAAGACTAAATATTTGGGAATAAATTTATCAATTTATCAACAAGCAAAATCTATATGAGAATTTCTTTTTTTTTGAGATGGAGTCTTGCTCTATCATGCAGGCTGGAGTGCAATGGCGTGATCTTGGCTCACTGCAACCTCCACCTCACAGGTTCAAGTAATTTTCCTGCTTCAGCCTCCTGAGTAGCTGGGATTGCAGGCGCCTGCTACCACACCCAGCTAATTTTGTATTTTTAGTAGACACGGTTTCACTAGGTTGGCTAGGCTGGTCTCCTGCCAGGTGATCCACCCGCCTTGGCCTCCCAAAGTTCTGGGATTATAGGAGTAATCCTGGTCATGCCCAGCCAAGAAAAAAATGTAAAACATTCCTGAAGACGCAAAAGTAGTCTTGGACAAATGGAGAGACATCCCTTGCTTTAGCCAGGATAGCAACATTATACGGATGCCGGTTAATTTATAAATTTAATACAATCCCAATAAAAATATGAATAACCTTTTTAATGAGGTCAGAAAGGTTAATACTAAAATCCCTACAGAAAAGAAAATATGCAAGAATAGAATGAAAACAGTTAAAACAGAAAATCTACAAAGGAGACTAGGCCTACTAAAAATTAAAACATACTAAAAAGCCTTTATAATAAAACAGTGCGGTTCTGGCACATGAATGACCAACAGACCAGTGGAAAAGAAGAAAAAACAGTACAACTACAGACATAGGTAAATACGTGTATAATAAGGGTGGCGTCTCATGCCAGTGGGGAAAATAAAGTTTTTACATGGGACAGGTATACAGCCATTTGGATAGAGAAAAAGAGAAACTTAGATCGATACCTCTCACCATACACAAGCAATACTCAGCATGGACCCTGAGAAGGCACGTCATCAGTTACGTGGTGGCAGGCTACAGTTGCAAGCTTCCCATCTCTAAGTCAAGTGGGAACCACAACACCCTTGCTAAGTCTTCCTCCAGTCCTGAGAAAAAGGAGTCAAAATTCATCTAACCTGACGCGGGTCTCTGCCATCCCAGTCCAAATGCCCTGGTGAGAGTCTAATCCGTACATGATGGCGACTGTGAGTAAGACACCAGGTGCCATCTGGAGTGTGAGCTACCTGCAGCCCTTCAGGGGGAAACAGAATTCAGATCCACTTTTCAGATAAAACAGTGTTCTCAGAGCATGTTCCCAAAGGTGCTTGGTAATCCCAAGACCTGCTCAGGAGTCTGCTTAGTCAGAACTATTTTCATAATAATTTAAAACCCGTATTTATTTTTTCTCTTATTTTCTCCTTATATTCAGCAGTGTTTATTGTACTATATGACCTATGATTCTATTTCAGATTAAATGCAGAAGACCTGCGCATTCGACTGTCTCTATTAAGCTGGAGAGTGAAAGAATTTGCAAAAATGTAGAATTGTGCCACTCCTTACACTTTTTGTTTTGTAAAGATACAGTTCTGTTTCATATAAATGTTATTTATACTAATGTAATGGGTGTTTGCAGAAAAGTGATTTATTTATTTAGAGAGAGAGAGAAACAGGAGAAGAGAGAAAGTTTCCACCAGAGAGTGTGTGGAAGTGGAACCCCAGAGGGGAAATCCAGAGAGATCCCACTATGCGGGAGGGGGCTCCAGAGAGCTGGAAATCCGGTGTGGGTGAAGGAGCACGGGAATTTATCTGGGAGAAACTCCCACTTCCCCAAGCTCCTCTGGCTAATGAAAGGAATACCTTTAAACTTCAGCTGGGGTGATTGACTCTTAGTTTCTTCCCGCCCCACGAAATTCAAACAAAAACCATTAAATTTCCCGGATGAAGGCGGATGGGAGGGGGAGAAAATATGGCGCTCGGAAGTTCTTGCCCTAGAAACTACGCCCCCTTGTGGACCCGGAAAGGGAACACATTCCCTCAACAGGATGAAATAGGAGGTTGGCAGGGCTGGTATCACAAGATGCAGGTTACAAAGACCACTCCTACCAGTGCCATGACAGTTTATAAATACCACGGCAAAGTCTAGAAGTTACCCTATATGTTCTAAAAGGAAAAATTCCTGGAAAACTCATGAATAATCCACCCTTATTTAGCACATGATCAAGAAATAACCATAAAAATAGCCAATCGGGCTGCACTGCTTATGGAGTCGCCATTCTTTTATTCCTTGATTTATTTTGAGACAGTCTTGCTCTGTTGCCCAGACTGGAGTGCAGTGGTGTAATCTCAGCTCACTGCAACCTCCGCCTCCCAGGATCAAGCGATTCTCCGGCCTCGGCCTCCCGAGCAGTTGGAATTACAAGTGCGTGCTACCACACCTGGCTAATTTTTTTTGTATTTTTAGTAAAGACGGGGTTTCATCATGTTAGCCAGGCTGGTCTCCAACTCCTGAGCTCATGATCCGCCTACCTTGGCCTCCCAAAGTGCTGGGATTACAGGCTGAGCCACCGCGCCTGGCTTATTCCTTTACTTTCTTAATAAACGCTGTGGACTCACAGTGGCCGCGAATTCTTTCTTGCACAAGACCCAAGAACATTCTCTTGAGGTCTGGATTGTGATCATTTTCTGGTAACAAAGCTAAAACTAAGTTGTTAATCTGCCTTCTGAGAAAATCAAGAGAGAGACAGAGAAAAGCCCATTTCCCAACCAGACCAGTTTCAGTCTTCAGCCTGAGGCAGGAAAATAGGGTCTGGAGGCAGGAAAATAGGGTCTGGAGGCAGGGAAATAAGGCCATTCACACTTTAGCTCCGACAGGAAAAAGCCTTTCCACAGGGAATAGGCCAAGTAAATGACTTTGTAACTTTACTTCATTCTCTTCATTTACATAGCGCGTACCCCAAGTAGAGGATAAACTCCCCAAAACTCTGTAACGGGGCCTTTGAGCCCCTATGCTCAGGCCCGCTCCCACACTGCGGAGTGTAGTTTCATTTTCAATAAAAGCCTTCATTTCTTCCTCGCATTGTTTGTGCGTTTTGTCCAATTCTTTGTTTGAGATGCCAAGAATCTGGACACCGTCCACCGTTAACAAGTCCGCATGATAATAAAGCTGCATCTGCTTTGATTCTTACACACAAAAATAGGTAGGCTGAAGTAACCTGAGGCTGACTAATCAGTTATTCTCTATTATTCATCTCCCTGTCCCTGCCTTACAACGAAAGTAATTTTGAAAACACCAATCTGCTTTTTGATCGTCATTTCTGCCTTCTTCAGCCTTTTCTGTCTGTTAAGCCAAACCCCTCTGCTAAGCTCATTGGAACACTTATTCTGTTCTATGTAATGAAGCACTGCTGCAGCCTAGAACCAAAAATAAAGCCAACAGAGATCTTTACTCTAAATTGGTTATAATTTTGTCTTTTGACACAGGAAGTCTTTGGTATTGGTTTGATTCCCCGGCTCACGTGCAGCCTCTTGGAAAAGAAAGAGAACGTAATCTCTGCGGCGGCGGGGGGGGGGGGGGGTGCTCACAGGCCACAGCTGTTAACCCCTCCCTCTCCTCCCCTCCCTTCCCCTCCCCTCGAGAACGTAACCCCTGGGGCATGGGGGCGCACAGGCCACAGCTGTGACTCCTTCCCCTCCCCTCCCCTCCCCTTTCTTGAGATAGAGTTTGCTCTTGTTGCTCCTACCTCAGCCTACCTAGTAGCTGGGATTACAGGCATGCGCCACCACGCCCGGCTACCTTTTGTATTTTTAGTAAAGACGGGTTTTCACCATGTTGGTTAGACTGGTCTCCAACTCCTGACCTCAGGCGATCCACCTGCCTCGGCCTTCCAAAGTGCTGGGCTGCTGGGCGTGAACCACTGCGTCCGGCCCAACCCCACGTTTTCTCAGGAACTGGAGTTCCCTTTAGAAGGCAAGTTACAGGCGTGCTGGGCTGCCCCGGGCCGCTAGGTCGTCTTCTTTCCCAGGCTCCGTGCTCTCATCAGATTGCGCCTTTCCAGAAGCAGGGAGAGGACCAGGGAAGACCCCTGAGTCGGAGAATGGGCACCGGCCGGCGGCAGGTAGGACTGGCCGCTGGGGTCAGAGTGCAGCGCCGGTGTGGGGCAGTTCTGCCACTCAGCTGTGACTCTAAATGAATGAGTCACTTCTCCTCCCCGGGCGAGCTCCTGGCTGGGGAAATCCCTGGATCAGGAAGGTCCCAGAGAAACTCCCCAATGGGAAAGCTGAGGCGGTTCAGAGAGATCCAGGGTACACACAGTGCCAGTGCCAGCCCCACGTCCCCGACCACCGGCTCAGGGCTGGTTCCACGCCGTCGTTTCTCTCCGCTGGCCCCAGCCGCGGGGCCACCTCCAGACACACAGACCCCGGCTCCTGCCTGGCGGCGTGACCTTGGGTTAGTCCCAGAGCCTCCTCTGGCCGGGTTTCCTCCGCCCATTGCTAGGACCGTGTGCGTAAGGAGATGTCCTCTGTAGTAGGGAGGTTTAATGAGTAACAGAACTGGCTGTCTGTTCTTAACAATTGCCCAGCTGCTCCACGGAAGGGAGAAGCAATAGCGGGCGGAGGCTCCCGGCACCTTCCCGGCACCGGACAGGAGGGGGACGGGGGAGGCGGGGCCTGTCCGCGGGCTGGCCCAGGGTGCGGTCAGCTGAGTCAGTGGGCCCAGGGCAGGCGGGGCCGGAGCCAAGCGGCGACCCCCGGGCGGGGCGCTCGCAGACTCCATTTGAGATTCACCTTGCGAGTGGTTCCCTTATTCGAGTGGTCCCGGGCACCGACCCTCGCCCTGCCGTCCGCGAGCCTCGCGAGAGCTGCCCCTTCCTCGGGCCCTGGAGCAGAGTGTTTGTCGCCGGTGTCGCCGTGCGAGGATGGCGCAGCGGGTGTAGGGTCCCTGCACAGGCCGAGCGGTGAGTCGCCCGCGGCCCGGCTTCTGCCGTTCTCTCTTCCGGGGAGGCTGGCCAGTCCCCTGCCTCGGCGACGTGCCCGTTTACCTGTAGGGGCGGTGACGGAGGCTCAGGTGCACCCGGCTGCCAGCTGCAGAGAAGGTGCCGAGAGCCGGCCCGGGGCGGATGCGCGTGGAGCAGGGCGCGCGGCTGGGAGGTTCCGGGAAACGGTGTGTGCGGGGCGAGGTGGGCGTCGGGGGAAGCGCGCGGGCGGGATGGCTTCATTGGGTCCACCCGGTGCCCACCTCTCTCCCACGTCCCGGCGACCGAGTGCGCGGGGTCCCGGGCGGGGAGCCCACCCGGCGGAGACGCTGCGAGGGAGGCAGAGCCGGCAGGGTCAGGTCCCGCAGGGCGCAGGCGGGCGCTTTTCGCAGCCCAAACCCGGGTGGGGAGTGCGCGAACCCCGAGAACTGTGCTGGGAGCCCCAGGCAGAGGAAGGAGTTGGTGACTAAAGTGACGAAATGATGTTTTGTCCCCACGTCTTTTAAAGGGAGAGGGGATAAAATTTCATTTGGAGGCTGATTGTTACAGGAGCCCTCCAAGTTCATATGGAGTCAAGTGTCCATTGAGTCAACATTTAATCAAATGTTACCGCATAAAAATATTGGCATCGAGTTATCTGGCAGCTCCGCAGAGAGAGTTTACAGTCACAAGCATTATATGACATAATTTGCGTGGGGAAGGGGGTCCCTTTACGATTCGTTTATATGGCAACCTGTCTTTCGACTTGGCAGGGCCCAGAGAAGCAAGGAACTCCGTAGCCCGCCGGTGGTCAGCGCGTCTAGTCTCCCGTCCCAATTCAGGGCTTGGCGAGGTGACTCGCGGTCGTGGGTGACTCGCCGGCAGCCTTCCTGCCCCGGCCTGGAACGCCTCCCTCTACAGACGTCTGTCCGCCTCCAGCCGCTCTCCTCTGACGGTCAGTTTCGGAGAAATAGTCTAAAATCCGGAGTAGAAAGGGGCGGTTTCCCGTGAAGGCCGTGGAGGCAGTTTCCAGGCGCCTGGGTGACTTCTCTGCCCTTCCGTCTCTGGTTCTCCATCCCCGTTTCCTTTCCCCACCGTCCCCGCCAGGCCCTTCCTAGGCTCATTTTCCACCTGACTGGGGTCTTTTGGGTTAAAAAGACCTCTGGTTCCATTTATTGGCTGTAACCTTGGGTCTTTAAAAAACGTTGTGACTTCCTTGAATAGAAGGAATGTCTTAATTTGGGTTTCTAAAGCCCGGCTGAGCTTTTCCCAGGGCAGGCCATCGTCTCTCCCGCCTTTCGATTTGTTTGCCCATCTGCATTTTGGCCCAAGCTGTCCCCACTTCGCAACCACTTTTACATTATTTCTTTCTTCAGACGCCACTCTGACCTTCTGGTCCTCTGCGTAAACCTACCTCATCACTGCAGATCATTTTAATCCAGCACGGGTTTATCAAGCGCAGATTATAATTCTTGGTTCCAATACTTTCAGCGTTGGTGGGCGTTCATGTTTCATTTAAGAAGGATAAATTAGTGTTTCTTTACATGGGTTTTTTTTGTAAGCGGACTTTTGTTGTCTTTACTGATAATACAATTAATGCAAACTTATTGTAAAAAAGAAAATCAAATATATAACAGAAAATGAAACTTCTAGGTTTTCCTACTCCGGAAAGATAAACCCCAAACATTATTTTTCCTCCTCCTCTTCCTCTTCTCTGTCTCACACACACATTTGGTTTTGAAATATGTTCATTCAAAACGTATTTTAAATGTTTAGATACCAAGTTATTTATATAAGTAACTTACCAATCTGATTTTAGTTTAATGGATAAGCTAAAAAAAAAAAAAAAGAATATCTTCAGTTTTTTGTTTTTTTTTTAGTAAGTTAGATCACTTTTTCAGTGATCACCTGGGGCTCCCCTACTTGTTGCTATATAGGACCCTGGCAATAGGGGAGACCCCAGCCCCCTCAGGCTGATGCTCAAAATTTTTACTGGGACGTGTAACCACCTGGGGCCCTTGCAGTTTTATTTGCCCAGGCTGAGCTGTTGATCTCTCTCCACATTTGAGTGCAGCTTTCCCTCTTAGCTGTCTGATGGGTTTCCTGTCATCTTGCCTTTGTTTTTACTGTTTTTCCTGTCTAAAGGGTCCTTTCCTCACCAAAAATTCTCTAGGCTGATTCCTAATTATGAATCATTAAGAACCCCTAGGGGCCTGCTGGGCTGGCTGGCTTTCTTTTCTTCTCTTTCTCTCTCATTTTTTGCCCCCCAGAGACAGATTCTGACTCCAGCACCCAGGCTGGAGTGCAGTGGCGCAAACTCGGCTCAGTGCAGCCTCCACCTGTCAGCCTCAAATGATCCCCTTCTACCTCAGCCCCCAAAGTAGTTGGGACAACACAGGCATGCCACCCCACCCAGCTAATTTTTGTATTTCTTTATGGAGAGAGGGTTTCGCTATGTTGCCCAGGCTGGTTTCACCCTCCTGGGCGCAAACGATCTACCTGCCTTGCTTTGGCCTCTCAAAGTGCTGGAATTATGGACATGAGCCACCACACCCAACCTGCATTCATTCTTTTCTGCTCTGTCCTTTCTAGCTGAAGTAAATAAATCTTCCAGGCCCTGGTTGCACCTTTACTTGGCCACCTTGAGTTGGAGTTGACTCTTGGCTTGCTGACCGCTAGCTTCTCAGTGTCCTTGGTCTTTCCCGTCCCACCATAGATCATACATGTCATCAGAGATGTTCTTATGCCAGCCTGATTTTAAGTCTATAGTCACCTAATGAGGGGCCAGAGAACAGCCTGTTGGTCTCATTTATTTTATGGAGGATTTCAGATTCTTTAAATCATTACCATATAAAATGCTGGGGCCGGCACAGTGGCTCAAGCCTGTAATCCCAGCACTTTGGGAGGCCGAGGCAGGTGGATCACAAGGTCAAGAGATCAAGACCATCCTGGTTAACAAGGTGAAAGCCCATCTCTACTAAAAATACAAAAATGAGCTGGGCCTGGTGGCGCGTGCCTATAATCCCAGCTACTCAGGCGGCTGAGGCAGGAGAATTGCCTGAACCCAGGAGGCGAAGGTTGCATTGAGCCAAGATCACGCCATTCCACTCCAGCCTGGGTAACAAGAGCGAAACTCCATGTCAAAAATAAAATAAAATAAAATAAAATGCTTAGCACTTCCTGGTGTCTTATAGACATGTAATGCCATTTCTAATTATGTTACTGAAAGCACCCAGGCAAGCACCAGTATTTACCCTGTTATTGAAGTTCTAGCCAATGGTTTTGGTGGGGTAAGGTGAGAGAGGGCTGAACCAAATTGCAACTTTCCTGAGTAGACAGTGGCTGGAAGGGGGGCTAATTCAGTGCTGGGTTTGGCAAGCTGGTTTGTTTCAGCCAGGCAGGAAACAGGAAGTGGAAGGCTGCACTGGGGTTAGATCTGGGATAATGAAGAGGCTGGAAGTCCATAAATCAGGTATGTCTCATTAGAAAATAAACTATACATATTGTCTGTTGGAGGAAAAATGTCCAGGATGCACAATAATCATACTTTGGTAAAAACAATTTAAAAGCAATTGTCAGAAATAGTTCCTGAAAGTCTATGAATAACTTACAGATTAAAACAAGATGCCAGTTAAGCTGAACAAAAGGCAGTGCTTGGAAATCCTCATGGCCGCGTCCTCAGCTTTCAGAGCCAAGCCGCATTCCGGCCTGGGTGCGTGTGTGGGAGACACTCCTGAAGGTATTTCTTCCAGTGGCTAGAAAGGGGTACCGAGAAGGCCTTTCATGTGGGCCTTAAGTTGTGATCTGGAATTGAGTATATTGCAGTTGACACTGGGCCCATGAATCCCTTCTCTCACCCCCTTTTCTATACTAAATTCTAGTGGGCCAAACTTCTACCGACCTTTGAAGGTTGGGGAAAACACATGCAGCCTGGTGGCCTGTGGGAACAGAAGTCTATGTGAGTGACCACAAGGGTGTGTCAGCTTCTGGTTCTCATGCTGTGGGGCTCTGACTAGGCTAAGAGGAGACTGTGTTTTCTTCTCTTATCAGCTCCTATCTTTGACCTTTCAATGGGTGGATGGGGTGACCATATAATTTATCCTCTACGTCCAGATCCTTCGGCTAATGAAACATGCGTCTGGTAATTATGCCGGGACTTCCCAGGTAAACCCTGACATGCCAGGCAGACCTGCCCTGGGTTACCATACCCTAGATAAACCTGCATGAGACCTAAGTTATTTAGTAGGGAACTTTTCAACTAGAGCATTGCAGACATCCGCAACTTTCTCTGCCTATGTGGTTGGTTAAATCGAGCCTCCCTGAGTTCAGGGCTGAAACGCGGAGAGAAGTTAGTTCTTGGGACATTCACACCTAGGATGGGGCATGCTACAGGTTCTAAGATTGCAAGGGGAAAGAGGGAGTGAGGCTGGCCCCGGAGCCCACTAGGAAGGAGCCAGCAGAAGGCAATGACTAGACAAGGGAACTGAACTGATTTCTCTGCTGATATAGCCTTGGTTTCCCTAGTTCAGAGTAAAGAAAAGCAACCAAGCCTAGAGAGAAACACCCTTACTCTGCAAGGCCAGACAGGAAGTTCTGGCTTTGGCTTTGTTTCCTTTTCTGTAAATGGGGGTTGGATTCTCTAGAGAGCTTTCCAGGGGCCACTCAGCAGTCTCTGATTCAGTGGGATGCTCTCAGCTGCTGGCCCAAGGGAGCTCACCTCTAACTCTTTTCCTGCCCAGTTTACTGTGGGGGCTGCTTCCTTTCATTAGCTCCCTACCCCTATAGACAAGCAGCCTGGAGGGGACAGAGTTTTGGGGGAGGTTGTAAGAGGGCACGTTCTTCAGAGGAGCTGCTCTTACCGGGGAATGTGCCTGCCCAGCAGAAACTGGCTCTGGGGACCAGGACTCTCTGCCTGACCCTAAACCTTACTTCTTCCCTCAGTGGAGAAGCAGGAGCTCCATAAAGAGGCTGTGGATTGGTGCCCCCTCCCCAGACTGCATGACCATGGCATGGCTGGGAGAGGTGGAATTCCTGAGACAGCAGCCAGGGCCATCCAGCTGCAGGGGGCTGTTGATAGTGCCATTGATAGTTATGTTTCCTGGAAGCCAGACTACTGTGGAAGCTGGGCTATGGGTTGGTCTGCTTAATGTATCCTGAAGAATGTCTGAAATCATATCTAGACACCAATGCCCCAGGATCCTCCTGTAGGGCGTTTTGATGAGAAGCAGTGCCCCGACTCCTCCTCACTCCACACACGTAGGGAGAGCTGGTGCTGGCTGTTCATGAAGCTTCATCCATACACTGTCCTTCATTTGTCCCCTGGTGAACTGGGGGCCAAGGAGTGATGCCTCTTTTAAAACTCATTCCCTTCCCACTGGTGTTGTGACTCATGCCTGTAATTTCAGCTACTTGGAGGATGAGGGTGCAGTGAGCCGTGATTGTACCATTACACTCCAGCCTGGGCAGCAGAGTGAGACTCTCTGTTTCTCCCTTCCTCCCTCCCTGTTTCCTTCCTTCCTTCCTTCCCCTCTCTTTCTCTTTTTCTCTTTTGACAGAGTCTTGGTCTTTTACCCCGGCTAGAGTGCAGTGGCATGATCTGAACTCACTGCAACTTTCATCTTCTGGGTTCAAGCAGTTCTCCTGCCTCAGCCCCCTGAGTAGCTAGGATTACAAGCATGTGCCACCACGCCCAGCTACTTTTTCCATTTTTAGTAGAGATGGGGTTTCACCATGTTGGCCAGGCTGGTCTTGAATTCCTGTCATCAAGTAATCTGCCCACCTCAGCCTACCAAAGTGCTGGGATTAGGGGTGTGGGCCACCATGCACGGCCCTGTGTTTCTAAAAAATGAAAAATAAAGTGTTGAATAAAAAAAATAAAAACACCACCACCACACCTTATTCCCTTCTTAGCTGGACTGCAACAGCTGGGATTTCTAAAGAAGTGTTGTATAAACGCTAAGGGGGAATGAAAGCTGGGTGGAGAGATTGGAGGCAGCAATTGGAGGGAACGTGTTGGCTCCACACCCACAACTGTAATTTTCCCTGGCATTCAACATTTACTGGGAATGGTCACTATATTATGGCAATAATAAATCCCACTCTCCAAAAAGGGACCTTTTGGGTTTTATCTTGGTGATAAGAGACTGGAGAGTTACGAGGGTGAGAACCACGTGGTGGAAACAACCAGACTGACTTCAGGAAAGCGGCCACACTTCACAGACTCCTACCAATGTCTTTACGAGCCTTGGGCCATCCCATAGACCCAGTGCTTCACTCTCCTCCTCTCAGCACGAATCCTGCCTGCTCTGCAAGGCTTTCCAGGGAGTTGGGGGCCTGGCCATTACAGGGCATTCAGATATTGCTTTATTAACTGAGTTCAAAACGGGAGCCTCGCCCTCCTTCAAAGAGCTCTGGTGAAACCCTGCCCTTCTCCACACTGGGAAGTAGTCTCGGGGGTTTCTGACTACTGAGCCCTACCAGAATAACTGCAGGTACACCGGCGACCTTTCCCTTCACGGGGCTTTGCAGTGGAAGTGGGGCCATGGGCTGACTCAGGTCAGCCTCAGTCCCTCTCCCTCCAGTGATGGTTCCCTGTCCCCACTGCTCCCTCTGGAGCCTTTACCCCACTTTTGACCCAGTTCCTCCTGTTCCCCCAGCAGTCCTTGAAAGCTGGAGAAGAGCATCTGAGATTCTAGAAGGGTGAGGAAGAGAGGTATGGTGTGTTGGGTCAGTGAGTCTTGATTTGCTGGGCTGGGAAACTGGGAATAAGGGACAGGTTTGTTTGTTTTGTTTTGAGATGGAGTCTTGCTCTGTCACCCAGGCTGGAGTGCCGTGGCGTGATCTTGGCTTACTGAAACCTCTGCCTCCCTTGTTCAAGTGATTCTTCTGCCTCAGCCTCTAGAGAGTAGCTGGGATTACAGGCACCTGCCACCACACCTGGCTAATTTTTGTATTTTTAGTAGAGACAGGGTTTCACTGTATTGGCCAGGCTGGTCTTGAACTCATGACCTTGGGGGATCCACCCACCTTGGCCTCCCAAAGTGCTGGGATTACAGGCATGAAGGGAACATACTCTCTGAAGGTGTGAGGTTCCTGTCTATTTAGGCTTTTGGCACATTTTCGCCACCTCCTCTCTGAAATTAGCAACGCTGTAAACACACACACACACTCCTTTCTCTCTCTCTCTATTTCTCTCACATACATTTAAGGAATTTATCAGGCGTTTAAGGAATTCCACTTCATTGCACTGACTTTCTACATGTTAGTGGGGCTCTGCATGACCTTAGTTTCTGTTGGGTGAATTCACTTCATTCTGTGTGATTTTTTTTTTTCCTTAGGGTCCTGCCTCAGTTGAGGGAATGGCAGCCACAGAAGCCAAAGCAGAGAAACCTGAAAGTCACAAGTAAGGCTCCATTTCCTTCCAGGTTGGGTTGGGTTGGATTGGGTTTATAGAGCATACGTTGTGCCACACGTGTGTCTAAGAACTTGACATATATGAATACATTTGATGCTTGTGAAAGGACTGAGGCCTGGAGGGATCAGTGTCTCAGTAGGTTCAGAATTCAGGTGGCTGAAGACCTCCGGGGTCGGGTGCTGGGACCTCAGCTCTTGATTCTTAGGACATGTCATTTTAGAAAATCAGTTGAGTCCTGCTCAAATCTAGTCTAGTAGGTTTTTCCTCTATGTGTCACTTTTCTTTTTCTTTCTTTCTTTCTTTTTTTTTTTTTTTGAGACAGAGTCTTACTCTGTCACCAGGCTGGAGTGCAGTGGTGCCATCTCAGCTCACTGCAACCTCCGCCTCCTGGGTTCAAGCGATTCTCCTGCTTCAGTCTCCCAAGTAGCTGGGACCACAGATGTAGGCCACCATGCCTGGCTAATTTTTGTAATTTTAGTAAAGATGGGGTTTCACCATGTTGGCCATGATGGTCTCCGTGTCTTGACCTGGTGATCCGCACACCTTGGCCTCCCAAAGTGCTGGGATTACAGGCATGAGCCACCATACCCAGCCACTTTTCTTAAACAAAATCCCCTGCTTATCACTCAGCTCTGCCTTGGTTCTGAATCTGAAATGCCTTCATATTCCTTTGCAGTTTGTCATACTTCTGGTGTGCTTGGCATGACACCTACTGTGTTTAGGCACTGCTAGAAAAGCAAGGATTCCTTGTCTTCATCCCGATTCCTATGTGGACTTTAAATCCGTGGATCATTCTTGTTCTGTCACCACCCAGTTGTCTCCTACCTCTGCTGGGGTTACCTGGGCAGTCCTCCCATCTCGCTTCCATAGCCTCTCCCCAGTCCTGGTGGCCTCTGACCTTGGCACCACCCAGGGTTGTGGTGACCTCTGGCCCCCCTTGCTCTGGATTCCTGGCCCTTTCTTCCTCTATAACTTCCCTGAGACCTCTCTGAAGTCTCACATGTGACAGCTGCATACCCATGTCTTAATTCCATGTAGACAATGCTCCCCCATCCTCCTCCCTCCCTTCCTTCCTTCCTTCCTTCCTTCCTTCCTTCCTTCCTTCCTTCCTTCCTTCCTTCCTTCCTTCCTTCCTTCCTTCCTTCCTCTCAGAGTTTCAGAAGCCAGTTCCCCTCCCCTCCCCTCCCTTCCCTTCTTTCCTTTCCCTTTCCTTTTCTCTTTCCAGGTTTCACCCTGTTACCCAGGCTGGAGTGCCGTGGTATGATCTCAGCTCACAGCAACCTCCACCTCCTGGGCTCAAGTGATCCTCTCACCTCAGCCTCCTGAGTAGCTGGGACTACAGTCATGTTACAAACCTGGCTAATTTTTGTACTTTTTTTAGAGATGGGGCTTCACTATGTTGTCCAAGCTGATCTCGAACTCCTGGGCTCCAGTGATCTGCCCACCTCAGCCTCCCAAATTGCTGGCATTACAGGCATGAGCCACCGTACCCAGCCAGTTTCCATTTCTTCCATCTCACACATTTCCTTTACATAGTAGATGCTCAATGACTATTTGCTAGGTGAATAAAGTGATAGAATTAAGCAGAATAAAGTCACTTGAATTTATATGTAGACTTGAGAAATATTTTTCCAAGTAGTATGTCCCTGACTTGTTATTTTAAAATCCTTCAAAAAATAAATTGGGCCATCTTCTGGTTCATTATGGCACATGTTAAATTTACTTTTTTTTTTTTTTGAGGTAGAGTCTTACTCTGTCACCCAGGCTAGAGTGCAGTGGTGTGATCATGGCTCACTGCAGCCTCAAACTCCTGGGCTCAGGTGATCCTTCCACATCAGCCTCCCAGGGAGCTGGGATTACAGGTGCGTGCCACCATACCCGGCTAATTTTTTCATTTTCTGTTGAGTCAGGGTTTTGCCCTGGCTGGTCTTGAATTCCTGGACTCAAGTGATCCACCCACGTTGGCCTCCTAAAATACTGGGATTACAGGAGTGAGTCACTGCACCCGGCCAAATTTTCATATTTAAAAGTCATTGCCGGTCTTCACGGTTACACCCTATTTCCTTCTCCTTCATTTCACAGAATCAAGGAGGAAAGACAGGTTTCTTTTTATTTTGAAATATGTGGCAAAATTGTCTTAATCACATCCTGTTTTGTCATTTTGAAGCATGACTCTTAGCCCGTCTGTGTTGTACTCTGTATTCCTAACATCCCAAAGGAGGATGGGCATGTTACTTACATGAAAAATAGCTGTCACCAAAGGATCCTAGAATGCTGCAGAGTGTGTGCATTGTCCGAATGTCACATTGGCCTAGAGATCAGAAAGGCTTTCTGAGAAAGTCCAAAGATGGTCCTCACATGATTCTGGATTTGGTCCCTGGAAAAACAGCCTTGCCCCACATCCCAGAGTAGAATGAACCCTGATTCTGGAGACCACCACAGCTTGTCAGGAAGAGGTGGATTTAGGGGCAGGCAGGTGTGGCTCTGTGCTTCAGACAGGCCACTGTGCCTTCCTGAGCAGGGCTTTTAGCAGAGTCGCTGCTGTAGTCAGCACAGTCCCTGCCTGCTCGTACAGCAGACAGTCACCTAGGCCCTGCCCCTTTATGCAAAGATCTCCCTGTCTCTGTCTATAAACTTTTGTATTTATCTTTTCTATATCAGCCTTTGGGAAATATTCAGGTGGGCCCCACTCTAGGGGAATGGACAGGAGGGAACATTTGACAGGAAAGGAGGAAGCGGTCAGGTATGGGCCAAGGGAGAAGCAGGAGCCCTCAGTGTCTGGAGCCTGGGTGTCAGCTGTTGATGCTGAGTGCCAGAAAGAAACTGGGATTTGATCAAATGGTAGATAAAATAAATAAAACAGGATGGGGCCATCTCAACCTTGTTTTGCTTGTCTGTGGTATATTCCGTGGGATTCAGAGATAAGTAAGAAGTGATTGTGGCCTCCAGAAGTTTTTGTTGCTGGAGGTAAAGTTATTACATTAGCTGTATATATCAGTGTTAGAGTATAGATAGGGTGTGTGCGGAGAGAATGGACATCTGCGAAGGGGGAGCATTCCCGATGTAACAGTCATTTCCAAATCCATGGCAGCTGAGACCCTGGCTCTCTTGTATCTTTTTCCTTTCTCATGAGTTAGATTGAGGAGGAGACATGACCAGGGGGTTCTGGACAGAAAGTCACACTCAGAAGGAAGAAAAAAGAAGTCCTCAGTTGCTCTGACATCTGGGTCCCATGTTTGCCTCAGTTTCCTGTGAGGGAGCCCACCATCTCTGGGACTCAGAAGGCATACATTGTCGAAGGAGCTGTGTTTGAGGCTGGCTCTAAGGGACTTCAGCAGGCTTGAGATGGACTCATCTAGACCTGGGGCATTTGTTTTGTAAGTAAGCTTTTACTGGGACACAGCCGCACTCATCTGCGTGCTGTTTATAGTTGCTTTCATATGCTTATGGTGGACTCGAGAAGTAGCAGAAACCATGCAGCCTGCAAAGCCATATTTATTATCTGGTCTTTTTTTTTTTTTTTTTTTTTTTTTTTTTTTTGAGACAGAGTCTCCTTCTGTCACCAGACTGGAGTGTAGTGGTGTGATCTCGGCTCACTGCAACCTCTGTCTCCTGGGTTCAAGCAATTCTCCTGCTTCAGCCTCCTGAGTAGTGGGGACTACAGGTGCGTGCCAGCACGCCCAGCTAATTTTTGTATTTTTAGTAGAGATAGCATTTTACCCTGCTGGCCAGGATGATCTCCATCTCTTGACCTTGTGATCTGCCTGCCTCAGCCTCCCAAAGTGCTGGGATTACAGGTGTGAGCAACCACACCCAGCCTGTTATGTGGCCTTTTTTTTTTTTTTTTAACAGAATAATCAACATCATTTTAACATCCCCTTTCTCCCTAGCCTTAAAACATGTGATGTGATATTTGAAGTTTAAGTATTTTCCAGAAGTCTTTATGTGGGCAAAATGCCTAAATAATTTGAGCTAAATAAGTGTTCATTTGTTTAAAGACAGACAAAAGGCAAAACCAATACCCATCCCTACGTAAACTTCTTGACTAAAGAGAGAACTCTCTCCATCCTAGAGGTCCGCAGTAGGAACAGCGTCATCTAGAGATGATGCTCAACTCAAGCAAGCCTCTCAAAGGACCTGCTACCCGGGGTAACTACCTTCTGCTGCAACTTCCTTCCTGTTACTAGAAGAAGGAAGTAGCCTCTAACGGGGAAGGTACCCCTGACTTCTCTCCTGTGCACACTCGAGGCAGCATGGTGTATTGAGACCAGGGCCAGGGGCTGGGGCATCACACTGTGCAGAACGCCCACTCAGCATCGTTTTATGAAATACTTAAGTCTCATCTTTGAATTATGACACTGTCCCAAAGCTTTTGAGATTGATGAACAGCTGCATTTTTGCCTGCTCTGCACTTTTGGTGATATAACCAAGATTGATCGGTGCAGAGCCATGGCCCCTGAATGCAATGCCAAGGCCTGCTGGCTGGGCGTCGATGCTGGCTCAATTAAGGAAGTTGCTGAGTAAACTCGCTCCACTTCTCACTCTCCGTTTAGCTATTTTATTTAAATCGCAGCCTCCTCCTCTTTGAAAAAAAGGACGTATTGTTTAATTGAAGAAAACTGGGAATTCTGTAAATTAGAATTTAATCTAGTTGCTCTGCAATACCGTGTGCAGAAGAATCATGTGTAAAGTTTATCAAAATGTAGGTTCCTATGTCCCACCACCTAGATTCTGGTTCCTTAGGTCAAAATAAGGCCTGGGAATCTGCTGTTTGAATAAGCACTCGGTATGACTTTGATACAGAGGTAGTCCGGGTCACACTTGGAAATTACCTGGCTCTTCTACTTAGAAACTATGTGACTGTGAACAGATCCCTCAACTTCTAAACCTTGCTTTTGAAGTGGGGTAATAATCCCTTTGTGTATCATTCCTTGTGACGCCCCATTGAGATAATGCCTGGAGAACATGCTGGTACATGGTAGGCAGTCAGGAGGTGTCATCGCAAATGAGCTGTCCCACCTCTCCCATATTCTCCCCTCCAGCTTGGGGTTAAGGCACATCATTCATCTCAGAGCAGCAGCCTCCTGCCTGTCAACCAGGATGGGACCCTGTCCATGTCTTCTTCGCCTCCCACGATTTCATGGTCATGTGAATGCCCTGAACATCTTTACTGTATAGACCCTTATCGCTGACCAGAGTTACAGTGAAGAGGTCCACTGAAGAGCATCTAGGAAGAGCAGACTCCACACAGCTTCAACAAAGCGGCTTGTACTTCCTCCAAGTGTCTAGTCTAATTCTAAGCTGGCTGAAACACTGGCTATGGATTATAGCACTTAATACGAAATCTGCTGATTTTCAGCTTGGGTTTTTGTGGACCAATAAAACTAAAATCTAAAAACAATACACAACACACTAACAGCAAATTCATTTGTTAAATCTGCTCTTATAACTTGCTGTTCAAGTCTCTGACACCTGATCATTTGGTTTCCAGTAGGCCTGCTGAACTGAAATATATAGCACCTTGATCTTTAAATACACAAAACACATATGCATTTTAAAAATTATATATAAAACCACTGCGTTTTGCCTCCTCCTGTCCATCCTCCCAAGTGAAGGGGTTGGAGAGGTCTGAGGCCGTTGCTGGAAATTAAGTCGGGCAACACAACACTTTAACGCTTTATTCCCTGAAGTTCGGAGCTGCTGCCCAGCAGCCATCATACCGCCTCCTCAGACTCCAGCCCGTGGACCTCATAGAAAGGGTCCAGCATGGCCAGCTGCTTCTCCATGGCAGGGAGGTAAAGGCTGAGGTCTCTGTGCATCCCAACACTGAAAGCTTTCTGGTGGTCACCTTCCTCTGTGGTTAACACGGCCACAAAATCTTCATAGGAGGAAGCTGCCCGTAAAGCAGATAAAAAAACCCCTTGAACTACCCAGCCACAGTGTTGCCGCTGCGTTTTACCATATGCATTACTCAGGGCTGTCTGGATATCCTTTTCCCCATTTTTCACTTCTGTCAAAAATCCCTTCAAAAATTTGAGACCTCTCTTCAGCCACAAGAAGGCTTCGGTCACCGAGTTCCTAACCTGGGCTGCGTCGGCCTCCACATTGTGCAGCACTATCTTCTGGAGAGTGGTGAACTCTTCTTTGTTGGTTATATATATATATATATTTGTTTTTTTTTTCTTTGAGAAGGAGTTTCACTGTTGTTACCCAGACTGGAGTGCAATGGCATGATCTCGGTTCACCACAACCTCCGCCTTCTGGGTTTAAGCAATACTCCTGCCTCAGCCTCCCGAGTAGCTGGGACTACAGGCGTGCACCACCATGCCCAGCAAATTTTTGTATTTTTAGTAGAGATGGGGTTTCACCTTGTTGACCAGGATGGTCTCGATCTCTTGACCTGGTGATCTACCCGCCTTGGCCTCCCAAAGTGCTGGGATTATAGGCATGAGCCACCGTGCCCGGATGGTTATATACTTCTGATTTACTTGCTTAATATTTCCAACAAGATCCATCTTAACAGGAGCAAACACCGTGGGGCCAAGTTTGTCCAGTACTGGAACCACAGCCAAGAAGAATTCTGTGGGAATGCCACTGTCTTCTGGAAGTTCAGTGTCACTACAGCTTGTGTTCATGGTACTATAGAAAGTTGGGATAACTTCTTTGCCTTCCTCCCAGAGGGATTCTGGAGAGCAACTCGAGGAGTCTGATCCAGACTGAGTCGAGTTATTGTCATGGTCTTCCAGGTTTTCCATGCCATCTTCCTTCATTATTTCACCTTGAACTGTTATATTATCATCTGTGTTTTCCTCACTTGCTATGCTGCAGTCTACCTCTGCAGATTTCAAATATAAGGAATTCTTATTTTTCATTAGGGTTCTTCATCATCATTTATTTCCATATTTAAAGATCAATTTTCACAGTTGCTCAACTCCATTTGCCTTTGCAGTGAATTGTGAATTGTATAATGGGATGTTTCATCTTGCTGGACTTGAGCATGGCCAGCTGCGGCGATCCTGGTGGTGGGCGGTAGAGCAGCTCAGAGGTGAAGGCTGCATTTGTAATCTGCGTGCATTCTTTCAAGGTCTTCAGAAACATTACAGGTTGATTTCAGCAAAGTTCCCTCATCAATTCCTTCCTCAGAATTGGACACATCAGTCGTGGTCACTTCTTTCATTTTATCTACTTGCTAAACAAGGTCACAGTAGAGTCTTAGTTCTGACATTTTGGTTTTCAAGTTTTCAGCAAACTCTTTCTCCTTCTGGGTCCTACTGTCAGTCAGGCAAGACTTGGCTGATCCCAGGGCCACCAACCACCACTGTCTCTTAGCCACGCTTCTGGCCTTCAGGTAGAAATACTGTTCCCTGGGGATTATCAGGCCCATGTGTGTATTATACACAGAATGAACTGAATTTCGCAGACTGCCATTTGGATGCTCCTTTGCAGGCTTCCCAGTCATATTCAGGAGAATCATGACAGGACAATATTCCCCCACAAAGAAGGAATCATTGAGGCAGCCAACTGCTCAGATAGTTGGTCCATTTGGACAACACCCCTCCCTGGTGCCTGCAGCCCCTCAGCCCATGCCCGCCAGCTCCCTCATTGCCCCAGGACCCAGGAGGCAAGGCTCACCGGCAGCAGGGCCATTGCCTGGCACGGCCCAGACGCCCACTCCTGGTGCCTGAGCCTGATGTGGGGATGCCTGTTCCCTATTACCTGGCCTTTTATGAAGAAAAGCTTGCTGACACTTGCTCTAGACTAGCATGAGCCACATGTACATTTTATAGCAGCCACCTTGAATAAAAGCAAATAAATAGATGTCTTCTCTTTTTCTGATGGAGTCTCCCCTTGTCACCTGGATTGTAGTGCAGCGGCGCTATCTCGGCTCACTACAACCTGTGCCACCTGGGTTCAAGTGATTCTCCTGTCTCAGCCTCCCGAGTAGCTGGGATTACAGGTGCCTGCCACCACGCCGAGCTAGTTTTTGTATTTTTAGTAGAGATGGGATTTCACTGTGTTGGCCAGGCTGGTCTTGAACTCCTGATCTTGTGATTCACCTGCCTCAGTCTCCCAAAGTGCTACAGGCATGAGCCACTGCACCTATCCAACAGATGTCTTATCTTGTCACTCTTAATTGAATATTGTTCTAGAGAAGTGGTAGCTAGTGTAACAAAAAAACAAAATTGAAGATGTGCAGTTTGGAAAGGTTATCTCTGGGATGTAGGACTAGAAGTTGTTTTTCCTTCTATTTCTGTTCATATTTCCTATGGTAAACATAGTAGTTTTAAAATAAAGTCAAGTTTATACATGGAATGAACTTGATTAGAGGAGCAGCTGGCTATTCTCTATACTCCCTGTATAGGCAGATTGAACTTTTCCATCTTTGTACTTTTTTTTTTTTTTTTCTGAGACAGTCTTACTTTGTCGCCAGACCCCAGGCTGGAGTGCAGTGGTGCAATCTCGGTTCACTGCAACCTCCACCTCCCGGGTTCAAGCAATTCTTCTGTCTCAGCCTCCCTAGAAGCTGGGACTACAGGCGCATGCCACCACACCCAGCTAATTTTTTTATTTTTTAGTAGATACGGGGTTTCACCATGTTGGCCAGGATGGTCTCGATCTCTTGACTTTGTGATCCGCTCGCCTCAGCCTCCCAAAGTGTTGGGATTACAGGCGTGAGCCACCGCACCTGGCCCCATCTTTGTACTTTTATGTGCTCTTCTGATTTCATCCCTTTTGCCCTCCACACAGAGCCCTGGGAGCAGCAGGGGTTAAGAGGAAGGAGAAGAGAGAAGAACAGAGGGGAGGCAAGTGGGGACCTTGGCAGTGTTGGGTTTGTCTTATCTCCAGGGTCCGGCCCTGCCCTTCTCCCACCATGAGCCTTGTGTCTGACATAGGCCACTTCTGTGATAATGTTGACTGTCGGGTACAGATGTTCTGTAAGCCTTCCACTTTCTTGTTTTTTAACAGTGATTGCCTCGTCAGACTTTCAAATCCAAACATAGCATCAATGAAAGAAGATATTCTCTATCATTTCAATCTCACCACTAGCAGACACAATTTCTCAGCCATGTTTGGGGATGTGAAGGTAAGGGGCCAGGTGTTGACATCTTGGGATTTGTCTGAAGATCAACCTCCCCCTATATAATACAAGTAGACCAACCCACAAATGCTTGAGAGGTCACAGCTGACAGGTTTATGAAGACATGTTTACCAAATTTTTAACTTTCAAGTATATGAACTAGCAAGTAAAAGAAAACGATCCTAAGTAGTGCCATATTGCTCCCTAATTCATCTCTTGCAAATTCAGTGCAGTTATGCATTGCTTAATGGTGGGAATATAGTCCAAGAAATGCATTTCTTTTTTTTTTTTTGAGACGGAGTTTTGCTCTTGTTACCCAGGCTGGAGTGCAATGGCGCGATCTCTGCTCACCGCAACCTCCGCCCCCTGGGTTTAGGCAATTCTCCTGCCTCAGCCTCCTGAGTAGCTGGGATTACAGGCACGCGCCACCGTGCCCAGCTAATTTTTTGTAATTTTTAGTAGAGACAGGGTTTCACCATGTTGACTAGGATGGTCTCGATCTTTTGACCTCGTGATCCACCCGCCTCGGCCTCCCAAAGTGCTGGGATAACAGGCGTGAGCCACCGCGCCCGGCCCAAAATGCATTTCTTAAGTATTTCATCCTTGTGTGGACGACATAGAGTGTAACCACACAAACCTAGGTGGCAGAGCCTCCTACGTGCCTGGGCCATATGCCCCTAGGCTACAAACCTGTATAGCATGTGACCGTCCTGAATACTGTAGTTGTAACATAGTGGTAAGCATTTGTGTATCTCTATATATCTAAACATAGAAAAGCTACATTTAAAAAATGGGAATCTATAATTTCCTGAGAGCACTGTTGTGTTTATGTGATTCTTTGCTTACCAGAACATTGTTATATGGGGCATAACTATGTATTTGAAACAATATATAAAATATACTTCCTAATACTTCATTGAGAGTAGAGAAAGATGTAAAAATTTCCTAGGGAGGCAAAGGATAGTAAATAAAGGTCATTGTATATTGTTTGTAATATAAGACGCATATTGGTATTCTGTTTAGCTAATTGCCTTTAATTTCTTATTTTGCTTCATGCAGCTTCCGGTTAATTTCTTCTACAAAGTCTTAAGTCCCTCAGTTCTGATTTATCTTAACATAAGACTTTGAAACATCTAATGGGTAAAGATGAACTGACATATAGAATAAAAAATCAAAATATACCAGGACCCTAGAATCCAGTGCTGCTACATGGGATCATAATAAAACCACAGTGTTATGTCTTATCAATCGTCGGTTCTTTGATAGTGCTGGTTTCAAATTGTGGACAACTTTCCATGTGCTTTTAATTCATTAAATTTTCATTCATCCTATTAAGTTAATCTATAGTGATTTTTATTCCAGGGTATGAAATTTTCTTTTGTATGTTTAGAGAATAATTCATTTCTTTTATCTTCAAACTCTTTATTTTTCATTCTCGATTTTTTGAGCTGAAGTATCACTGCCCAGGCTGGAGTACAGTGATGTGATCTCAGCTCACTGCAACGTCTGCCTCCCAGGTTCAATCGATTCTCCTGCCTCAGCCTCCTGAGTAGTTGGAATTATAGGCACCTGCCACCATGTCCAGCTAATTTTTGTATTTTTAAGGGGAGATGGGGTTTCACCATGTTGGCCAAGCTGGTCTGGAACTCCTAACCTCAGGTGATCCGTCTGCCCACTCCCAAAGTGCTGTGATTACAGGTGTGAGCCACCATGCCCAGCCATCCTCTAACTCTTTAAAAACTTACTCACTTTTTTTTTTTGGCAAAACCAACATTTTATTACACGACATTCTACAAATTAAAGTTTTTAACTTCTCTGAGAGAGACCCACCAAGAATAGCTGTCACTTCATGAACCTCCTCTAGGCTTCAGCTGGCTCTTTCCAAGAATTGGACATTTGGCACTGAAGTGACCAGGTGAGACAGTGATCAGTACCTGTTTTGGGGGGCTCTGGTAACAGAGAGACAATGAGGAGTTGCTCCCTCTTGTTTGAAAGCCAGGCTCTCTCCACAGGCTGCCTTCTACATGACAGAGGGAGGCTGAGTATGCACAGGACCTGGAATTACCTCCTCAGAGAGAGTGAGGGTCTGGATTCCTGTTTGTGGAGGAAACTCATGGCCTCCACACTCAGTGCTCCCACTGAGCACTCACCAGGGGCCTTGTTAAAGCAGATTACTGGGCCCCTTAGATTCAGCAGGTTCTGGTGAGGCCGATGAGCTTCTATTTTTAGCAAGTTCCTAGGCGATGCTGATGTTGCTGGTCTAGGACCCCACTTGAGGGCCCCTGCTATAGACAGTGCACTAATGGGGTCTGTCTTCTCTGGCTGCAGTTTGTGTGTGTTGGTGGAAGCCCCTCCCGGATGAAAGCCTTCATCAGGTACGTTGGTACAGAGCTGGGCCTTGACAGCCCAGGGAGAGACTATCCCAACATCTGCGCAGGAACTGACCGCTATGCCATGTATAAAGTAGGACCCGTGCTGTCTGTCAGTGTGAGTACCTGCCCTCCCTCGTGCTCAGTCTCTAGGCCCTGCAAGCCCCTGTGCCCCACCCCTCTGCACACACAGACAGCTGGTCCCCTAACACCTGTTTACTGGAAATGGCTGGGAGCAGGGTGAGCCCACAGTAGTGGTGATTCAGAGATTATTGAACACAGGCTCCTGCCCTTGAGGCTCAGTCTCCAGCCGAGGCTAAGTACACAAATGCAAATGCACAGCTGTCTGTGTCTACACAGTGTGAGGGTGGCCGGTGCAGGGAGTTAGAGTGCTTGGGGTGTACAGGAGGGACAGGAGAGGGTGCCCTGCCTGGAGCAGGATGGAAGGAGAGTCTCAAAGTGCTGGCCCTTTTATCTTCTCTGCCACTTCATAGTGAGTTACTTCAAAACACATTTTGATTCAGCAGTGAGCATGGTGAACACAGAAATCTCCAGATTCTACCATAGCAGTCTTTTCATTTTTCAGTTTTGATTTTCTTGGTCAGGAGCAATATAAATGAACTGTTGCAGAGTAAGGAAAGGGAACCCCTGTGGTGAGATAGGTAGCTGAGGCCTCGAGCTATGTCCACCAGCTAGAACACGTCGGGGAGCCGAGGCAGTATTCAGTTACTGATAGTCTGTGCAAAGCTTTCCTGTGTGTAAGGCTCTGTGACCAATTCCAGCAGGGATGCCTCCACTGTATGGCTCTGCCACAGGAACAGCCCCTGGAAAGTGCTGAGGGCATGTGGGGAGAGGCATCACAGAAGATGTGACACCAGGAAGGGGGCTCTGAAGGGGAGAGCAGGAGGAGGGGTATGCAGAGACCCCAAAGAGAGGAAAAGGCACAGGCAGAGAGAGGTACAATATCAGCAAGGTGTCCTGTGTCCATTGGGCTGAGGAGCCAGCCACTTACTTCGTTTGGCTGAAGCAGAGTGTGTAGGGAAAAAAGAGAAAGGAGATAATTCTACCTTGTGGCGGGGTGTGGGGAAGTAGGGTGGGCATTTATGCAGGGGCTCAGATGCTAGAAGGAGCTGTTTGTTACCTGGCAATAGCAGACTGCTGCTTCCCTGCTGAGCCCCTGGCTCCTCAGCTGTTACCTATTTGACTAATTATGTCAATCAAATGGGGTTTTGTCTTTGACAGCTTTGAGTAAACTTTTAAGTTTCCCACAGTGTTACTGTTCTTAAATTTATGTTTAAGAAGTGTATCTTCCATCACCACAATAATGGGCATGGTAGATTAAAGTATATAACATGGAAAGTCAAGCAGAACATTGGCGAAGTCACAGCCTTGGCTTAACATGGGTGTTTCTCCCTGGTTCCAGCATGGTATGGGCATTCCTTCTATCTCAATCATGTTGCATGAGCTCATAAAGCTGCTGTACCATGCCCGCTGCTCCAACGTCACTGTCATCCGCATTGGCACTTCTGGTGGGATAGGTAAGGTCTGCAGAGGGGCCTCTTGCCCTGTGAATGGATGAGAGACCGGGGGAGGCCGAGGCAGCTTCTATATGGTGTGGGATTAGACACAAAGGGTTCCTTTCTTGGCTGTGTTCAAGGAGAGCTTGTTAACAGGACGTGTGAAAAGAAGGTTGTTTTGTTGTTTATGTACAACCCATTCCTCCAACCCGCACCCCAGAGCTAGGCAGCAGAAGGGTGCCACCCCGAGCATGTGGGGAAGCCCATCCTTTTGGGGTCACGCCGTTTGTGCCTTCTTGTCTGCTTCATTCTCTCTTCTCCTTTCTAATCCCCCTTCTCCATTGTCTCCTTTCCTTTGCTTACTTTTCCTCCGCCCTATGATGTTTGAGATTTGAAGCACCTTATGTGAAAAGCCACAGGAAAATCAAAGTGGGGAAGAGAGAGGTGCAGTACAAAACTCAGACAAGTGTCCTTCAATTAGCTCAAAAGGTCCCTGTCCTCAACACGTTTCAAAACACAAAGACGGCAAAGTAAGAATGAGATTTCATGAGAACATAGAAAAGCTAACAAATTGTTGAATCGTAAGCCAAAGTCCGATAGGCAGATGTGTTTTAAATAAGTGGTCTCACTCTCTGGGGTTCCAACTCTGTATCGTGCTTTCTGATGAAAACTGGGTTCTAGCGATTCCTGCCCCCACTCAGGTGTTGGAACTCAGGGAAGAAGCCTGCAAGTGCCCTAGAGAAAGTTGAGCTTTGTCGCTGCTGGTCAGGCCTATGTGTACTTGTCCCAGGCTGTCTAGGTCTGGACTGTCAAGGATTTACAACAATTCTAAAATTTAAGTCTCCTGACTTTGAAAGGGGACTTGCTTTAGACCCAAATCTTTAAAATATGTTATCTTGTCTCTTCTCTTTTTGTTATGTAGAGAGATTGATGTGTAAAATCTGTGTTTGCATGACCGTAATTCCAGGTTTAGTGAAATTGTCCCTAGACCACATGCTACTGGCCATGAGCTGTCTCGGTCCTGCAGACTTAGTCTCCAGTAAGACACAGCTATGCATACCTAGCATGCTGGCCTCTGCCAGGAACTCTAGCAAATGGTTCTTGAGTTTTTGCTCTGGAGTCATTTTTAAAACAATGATCGGAGAATTCTGGAGGGAGTAGTGTGGATTTTGAATTTCTCTCAATTGCTCCATAAAAATGGAAAGAGCAAGCAGGGAGCAAAACCCAAAACTCCTGGACACAGTTGATAATAAAGTGTGATGTGCTATCCTCACAAACCCCAAAGTGTGAACGGGTGGGGACAAAAAGCCTCAAGATCTGGGTTGTGTTGGCAGCTGCTCAGGAGAAAGCTCAGAGTGACAGACAAACCTGAGAACAAGAGTTTCAGGTATTCCTAGGAAGGTGCAGGGGACACAGTGAAGATGGCAGCTGACACTGGAGGGGGCCTGCACGTCCCGATGTGAGTGACGCTGGAATCCTAGGGGCTCTATCACTCTAGGCCCTGTGGGTTCTCCAAGGCATCAGCCAAGCTCTCCTCTAGCTCCAGCCCCAGTGCTGGGAGAAGCTGTTGCAAGGAGACTCTGAATTGCCTATAAGAGCCGCAGGAGTAGCAAGGGAAAGAGGAGTTCAGATACATGTGGGGAATGAAGTGAAGGTCTTTGCAATCGGCCGTGTTTTTTAATGTTTCATGAAAACAACTGACTTGTGAGTTCTGGAAAAGATCTTCTGCCTTCTTGTTCCCTCCCACATGTTTAGGAAAATCAAGTTTGCACCAGAAACCGATCCTGGTTATCTTAGTCCCTGTGGGGTGATAGACAAGATGCCATTGACTGGGTGGCTTATAAACAACAAGAATGTATCTCTTCTAGTCTAGAGGCTGTGAAGTCCAAGGACAAGGGGTCAGCAAACTTGGTGTTTAGTGAGGGGTAGCTTTTGGATTCACAGAGCTCTGTTTTCTCACTGTGTCCTCATGTGGCAGAAGGGGCAGGCCACTCTCTAGGGCCCCTTTTATGAGTGCACTAATCCCACTTATGCAGGCTCCACCCTCATGACCTAATCACCTTCCAAAGGCCCTGCTGCCTAAAACCACCTTTGGGGTTAGGATTTCAGCCTATGAATTTTGAGGGGGAGACCAACATTCAGTCCCAGTCCATAGCAATGGTCAGATCTTATCTAAAGTTATTATAGCACAAAAGAATAAGGAGAAGAGTAGTAAGTAGTGTCCCTAGAAACAGAAAACTAGTCCAGGAAGGCATGCCCAGAACACAGGAACTGAACCCTAATAATGCCTCAATCTGAGGAAGGCCAGGTAGGTCAGCATTGGTCATAACTCCCCTGGGTTTAGAGTGTGGGGTTCATTATACTGTTCCAGTCTGCTTTTTGCTGGTTTACTTTTCAAGTATTTGCTTGAAAGCTTAAAAATGAACAAGATACGAAGTGGGGAATCAATGAAACACATCATAGTATAGGTTCAGTGACAGACAACAGCGGGAAATTGCAATGAATGGAAGGCAGAAACATGGGACAAAGTACCCGAAGAGTCCTGGCTATTTTATTTTATTTTATTTTATTTTATTGAGACAGAGTTTGCTCTTTTTGCCCATGCTGGCGTGCAGTGGCACAGTCTCGGCTCACTGCAACCTCTGCCTCCTCAGTTTAAGCAATTCTCCTGCCTCAGTCCCCTGAGTAGCTTGGATTATAGACATCACCACAATGCCCAGCTGATTTTTGTATTTTTAGTAGAGATGGAGTCTCGCCATGTTGGCCAGGCTGATCTTGAACTCCTGACCTCAGGTGATCTGCTCACCTTGGCCTCTCAAAGTATTAGGATTGTAGGCATGGGCCACTGCACCTGGCCCTCTGTTTTCTTCTTTGTGCCTTTCTCTTCCATAATGCCCATAATGATCATACATTAATTACTGTCATAGTTTTCAGAGAGTTTAATGGGAAAATGGGTCGCTGTGTATTTGGGAATAGTCCTGGATGCTTCCTGTTTGGATGTATGGATGGATTGTTTCTTTCCTCCATGTGCTTTGCTGTGTGCTCCCTGGCTGCCCTGTGTAATTGTCTCCTCTCTTCTTGTAGTTTATTTTACTTTGTTTCATGTCCTGCATAATCTTGATGTCTGCTTATCCCCCCAGGTCTGGAGCCTGGCTCCGTGGTCATAACAGAGCAGGCAGTGGATACCTGCTTCAAGGCAGAGTTTGAGCAGATTGTCCTGGGGAAGAGGGTGGTCCGGAAAACAGACCTGAACAAGCAGCTGGTGCAGGAGCTGTTTGTGTGTTCTACAGAGCTAAGCGAGTTCCCCACAGTGGTGGGGAACACCATGTGTACCTTGGACTTCTATGAAGGTAAGGCAGTGGATACCAGGAGGCATCTTTCAGCCTGTTGTCCCTCCCCTTAGCTTGCCTTCTCTCTGTGGGCTGGGGTTTCCATGTGCCAGGCTGCTGTCTTCATTACCTCTCCCAGGGTGGCGGGAATGACCCATTTGAGTGGACCTAGGCAGGACCTGGGTGGGTCTTGCTTGTCCCTGTGTCCCTCAGGCATCATGGCGCTGATGTGTTATGGGAACTTACTACATGCCTGTGGTTCTCATATGTCCGTGTGTGCCTCAGGGCAGGGCCGTCTGGATGGTGCTCTCTGCTCCTACACAGAGAAGGACAAGCAGACGTATCTGCAGGCGGCCTACACAGCTGGTGTCCGGAACATCGAGATGGAGTCCTCGGTGTTTGCCGCCATGTGCAACGCCTGCGGCCTCCAAGGTAGGCAGCACTCGATGGGCCTCGGTACCCTCTCCCTGCTCCGCTCCTGCTCTCCTGGATGCCCCTCACTGGGGCACCTCCTCCTGGAGCACCCCAGTACCCATTTCTGGCTTCTATCTCCCCTGCCCCCAAGCCACTTTCTGATATATGTTTGTCCTTACAACCCTGTGTTGAGCATCCTTTGATTGTCACCTGACAAAATGCAGGATTCTCAGTGTCCTTGTATGGGAAAGATGACAGAAACGTTTTGCTGCCCCATGAGGCTGCCACCAGCTCTATAAAAACTCGGCTTTCAAAGTGCTTTGGCTTTTGGAACTGCGATTCATCCACCCCCAAGGTCCTAGGCACCCTTGAAGGGCAACTCAGAGCTCTGCAGAATTCCCTCATCACCTTGTGATGTGCCTTTCAGGCTGGTGCTTGCAGCCCCGAGCTGGTCCTGGAATGGGGAATTCCTTTTGGAAGCTGAGGCTCGAGAATAAGGGAGGGACAGGGCAGGGTGGTGTCAGAGAGGGAGGAGCCTTACCAGTGCCTGGACCAGTGCCTTCCCCTCCTGCACTGAATCCTCTGGCCCCACCTGACTGAATGGGCAGCCTGGTTTCCTGAGTCGCCAGTGCTCGTGGATTCTTCATTCCATCCCTGTGAACTGTTAGACCCCCGGCACCTTGCCTTGATGTGGTCTTTGCCCTCTGCAGCGGCCGTGGTGTGTGTCACCCTCCTGAACCGCCTGGAAGGGGACCAGATCACCAGCCCTTCTAATGTGCTCGCTGAGTTCCAGCAGCGGCCGCAGCGGCTGGTGAGCTACTTCATCAAGAAGAAACTGGGCAAGGCCTGAGCACTGCCCCGAGCCTCCGTAGACCTGCTGTTATCACTTGCCATTAAAAGCATTGTCCAAAGTCTCCTGTCATGTGGACTTTAAGCACACTTTACACAAGAATCTAGAAAATCAGATTGCAATTAAGAGACAGAAAATCTGGAATTAACCGCATGGGATGTTCTTCCTTTTGAAGTTTCATTGGAGCATTTTCAGCTATGTTAGCCTGATTTGGGGTTTCTTCAAGAACATTCTACCAATTTTTGTACTATTTCTAGGGAAATGTTTCAGACTTTAAAATTCTAATGGTGGTCAGATTTCATGTCACTAAACAAGAAATCTGACACTAGTGCCAGAAAACTCATTTCCTGATGGATTTTAAAAATCCCATGTACCACTTGCAATGAGAGATGACTGAAAACCAGTGAAGTAGACAGCAGGTGTCTGAGAAATGATGCATACCTAAACATGCATATGCACAGTTTTCAACAGTCACACACATTTCCGGAACTGTCCACACCAGCTTAATCACATGACAGTAAGCCTCCCACCCATTGTCCACACTGCTAGTATCTTGATCCAAGTACCTGGGGATGGGAAACAGGACACTTGGGCTCAACACAGCTTGTCCTTGTGTCTGTCCATGGCTGATCAGCCTTGCATTCATTCCTGGCCTCACACTGACATTTCCCAGCTCCAAGCCTCTTAGCTTCCTCCTGGGTTGCATCTTACAGCAGAGGGGAGAATCTAGGGTGACCCCTCTGCCTGTCTCGGGTGAGTCTGGCAGCAGCTACTTCTTGGGCAGGCCTAGGTCCCCAGCTCAGGGGCAGTTGGGTCTTGGGACCTCGCTGGCTCGTGGGTTGCCCAGTGTCCTGGCTGACTTATCAACTTTCCCCACATCAATTTGGCTTCTTCCTGGTATTTTTGTTTCCTGTCCTTGAGATGGGCTTATTTCCTGATGGGCTCTGGGGGAGCACTCCCATGCTCAGGGGCTCTGCTTAGCAGTTTGCTGTGTGACTTGGAGTGGCACAGGGAGGTGTGTAGGGACCTGGTGCAAGGGCATGTGTATGGTCTGTGAACTCTTCCACGCGCCTTCCCTGTGATTCTGAGATTCAGCCCAAAGAGGGTCATTCAGCATCTGAGCCCATGTGCCCTTCTAGGTGCTAACAGCAAGAGAGACCCTTGCCCCACTCAAAAACTTCCTTACCTTCCACCTTCTCAAGCTCTAGGGGATGTTCTACAGATCTGCTTAGGGTGGAGAGTGAATCTCCTTCCATTTCTCTCTCGGCAGAAATGGTCTTCTTGGGCCCTTTGTTGAAGCTGTCTGGGAAAAACTGGAGCTCTCAGAGAGGCTCCAGCGTCCTGGGATGTGGCCGTGCAGCCATCTGTGCGCCCAGGGCATTGTGCTAAAGGCTCTGCCCCTGGCCTGTCACTCCAGCACGAGCTGCAGGGGCTGGACTTGCTATTGTTGTGCATTCATCTGTCTCCATTACCGAGTGCCCCCGGACTTCAATTGGATGACACCTTGCTCCTGTGGGTACATGACCCAGCGTGGGCTAGCCTTTCTATTCTCTGACCAGGCTGAGGATGCAGGTGTGGACCAGCTAGTAGGTGACTTGCAGGTCAATTTCTTTCACATCTCAACCCATGCAAGTGTACCCAGGTGAGCCTGCCACTTCCTGGGAGGACATCTTTGGTAAAGCAGAGAGAACACACACACACACACACACACACACACACACACAAACACACACCCAACAGAATTTAAGGCTAAAGGGGAGGCTGCTCTTAGTAAGAGAAGGGCTGGCTCCTTTTTGATGTGTTTTTCTCTGCACTGCCTTAAGTCTGTCTTGCTCGGGGAGCCATCACAGAGCCTGTGGCCTCAGCGCCCTCCTGGACAACGCAGAAGGTAAAAGGACTTCTGAACATGAGATTCTTTCTACAGGTGTCAATGGCTAAGCTGCAGCTGTGGGCACGGCACTGCCCTCTGCCGGCTGTGTGAGGTAGGGCACGTCAGCTACCCCAGGTGGATCTCCGTGGCTCTAATGAGGCGACATCCCTGACCTTACAGGTGAACCCGACAGCTCCTGACACACAGGAAATGCCGGTGGAACAAAACATCTTGTTCTGATTGAGTAAACATAATAACTATACTTAATGACAACCTGTTGGATTAGTTTATGTCGGCCTAAAAGGAAGAAGCGGAGGCAAAATTGGTAAAAGGAGAGTATGTTACTGACTGGGGCCAAACTTGAGGACTGCAACCCAAGAACATAGATTCAGGTTCCCCTGAATGAACATTCCGATTAGCAGCACTTGCAAGTGGATTTTTAAAGGCAAAAGGGAAATGGAATGGGCTGATACACAGCTGTCTGCCAGAAATTCTCATTGGTTTATAGAAATGACATTGATCAATGGCTACTCACTGGAAAGCCATAGGGTGTGGGTTATACTGTCCAGTGTGGCATTATTAGGTTCATTTATAGCTACTTGGGGCAATAGCAAGCAGTTCCAAGAGATGAATACATAGTTAAAAGGGAGGAGTGATTGATGTCTTTTTCTTGTGACAAGGTCTTGCTCTGTCACCCAGGCTGGAGTGGAGTGGTGCAATCATAGCTCACTGCAGCTTCTACATCATGGGCTCAAGCAATCCTCCCACCTCAGCCTTCCTAGTAGCTGGGACTACAGGTGTGCGCCACCACATCTGGCTAAGTTTTGTATTTTTTGCAGAGATGGGGTCTTGCTGTGTTGCCCAAGCTGGTCCTGACCTTCTAGGTTCAAGCCCTCCTTCCACCTTGGCTTCCAAAAGCACTGGAATTAGAGACATGAGCCACTGTGTCATGCGTGTTAGTTGAATTCCTCAGGAGACCACCAGAAACTCAGTCCCCTCCCTCTTCCTACAACGGCCACTCTTTGACTTTCAGGCCCTTGTGCCCTGGGCACCGGCCCCTTCCTCAACCCCTTCCCTCTTCCCAGCACTGGTGATAAAGACTCCTCTGAGTAGGAATATAATGATGCCAACACGGTTCGCTTTTGGTGCTCTCAGCAAGGTGGAGAGAATTAGGAATGTAATTGGGATTGTTCTGATGGAACTAATTGCCCCAGATTTCAAACACTGTCGTCAGCAAGTTCACTCCATGTTTTCCTCTAGTGCAGTCCTTAAGTGAGATGCTCAGAATGCCTCCCACTAATGTGAAAACCAAACTCTAATAACTCTCCAGCCCTTTGTAAATTGGAAAATCAGCATGTCACTAGTGAGTTAGTCAGGAGTTTACCTTGGGAAGCCTGCCCCACTCTCATGTAAAGGGTCGGGCTTTGGTGTCAATTGCAGAGGTGTCTGTGCTCCTCATGGTCTAGCCTCATCACAGCAATGATAATACCACCCTGACCAGAAACAATGAGATGATGGTTTGTCTTTATAAATGACCATAGGGACAATAGGGCCAAATGTCATTTGTCTTTATAAATGACAACAGTGGAATATGTTAGGGCATAAACCTCCCATACCTTTATCCTTAAGCCTGGCACTAAGTTACGTGGTGTTTTTTTTTTTTGAGATGCTTTTTTGCCCAGGCTGGAGTGCACAATCTCGGCTCACTGCAACCTCTGCCTCCAGGGTTCAAGTGATTCTCCTGCCTCAGCCTCCTGAGTAGCTGGGATTACAGGCACCCATCACCCCGCCCGCTAAGCCAGGTGTCCAACCTGTATTATCTGGCAATTCCACTCCTGCTCCTGGGATCGCGTGGAGAGAATTCATGTGGCCCAGGAGATGTGGACAGGAATGTTCATAATCTCAATGACTTCAGCAGCAAAAGCCAGAAGCCCCCAAATATCCATGTGCCAGAGAACAAGTGCATAGGGTTTGGTGTGCTCAGATGATGGAAAACTAAAACTAAATGCAGACAGCTTCACCCTCAGTACAGAACCGTCTCAGGTAACATTCTACCTGAAAACAGCAAATTGTAGAATAGTACCTACAACATGATCCCATTTATATAAAGTTTGAAAATGAACAAAACTAAACAATATCTTGTTTAGGGTTGTGTGCATTGCATGGTAAGGCTAGGGGGAAAAAAACTCCATCAGGGATTGAGAAAGCCCATCTTGAGATCAGGAATTGCCTCTGTTGGGAGGCAGGGGGCATTTGGAACCCTCAAGGACCTCAGCGATGTTCTGTTTCCCAGGTTAGGAATGACTTGTCACATCTGGGCTTCTGGGTTCTGCTGCAGCTTACTCATATTTAAGTACTCCTTGGTATGTATGTAATAGCAGAATATCATCTAATCAGCAGAATATCATCTGATCTAATTATCACCACCCAGAGGTTAGGCTCAATTTATAAAATAAGGAAGCAGTGCTAGTGTAAGAAAACAGTACTGCTCTACTGGTGCTTAGTAGTTACCACGTACATGAAGGAGAGTGATTTCTGACTAATTTTCATGGGGTTAGGAGCAGCTCTGCAGGTGTCAGCTTTTACTAATAACTAATATTTATTGAGCCATCGTTGTTGGGCCACTTCTGTGGAACTCCCATCAGCGATCTTGCCTGGCCCTCTCACCATCCGTGTTATCCCCAAATGCCAGGTGAGGGGACAGCCCGGGCTCAGGTCTGTGTGAGGACTGGGACTGTGCGGTCATAGTGTGTTATTTACATACATGCACATATACACACCTGCGTGTTTCCATGCATACACTGTCATACACGCACAGCCATGCAGAAGTTTACTTACCAGGAAAAGAGTGGTACTCAGTTCTTTGGACTTCACAAGGAAAGGAGAACACAGGTGTGAAAGTCAGTCCTTGGCATCCTGGAGTAGTCCATGCTGCAGCAGGGTGGGGGTGGGGTAAGGGGTGGTGGAAGTTCTCTTTTAGGGTGTCCTTCAGTGAGTGTTTTGTAGGAATAAAATTTTCAAAAGGATAAAGTCACAACTGTCATACTGATATAAAATGAACATGTGTGTTATGGAAATGAAGCCATCCCACCAGTATAGGCCTTACCATGCCCATGCTAGGAAAGAGAAAGCCCCAGCGATCAGAGGCTAGTGCGCTGAGACTCCACGTGTGTGGGAGGGGACTGTGGAGA